CTTCCTCTCTCCCTTTCTTTCTTTCTTTCTTTCTTTCTTTCTTTCTTTCTTTCTTTCTTCTTTCTTTCTGTCTATCTGTCTTTCTTTTGTTTTTCTTTCTTTGTAATGCACAAAACATTTCATAGTACATTGTCAAGACACTGGGTTTGAGATTCTACTAAATGATTCATTTGAATCATGGTGTTTTATAACAACTGGGCATCATCCGCATAGGGTATATATGGTACCTTACCCATAATCATTGGATAGTTGAATAAAATAGGCCAGAAGGTCAAGCATTCTACATTGTAGGGCCTGAGAATCACTCTCTCCTCCCTCATAATAGAGCCTTTATTGTCATTGTACATGATGTACACAACGAAATTGGTTTTAGTCTCACTGGTGCAATCCATGACAAAAAATACAAACAACATAAATAGCATAAAGAATAATCCCTATGCAAGTAATTAGAAAAAAAGAAAAACTAGTAGTACATTTCCATCTGTGCGTGGAGTGATTATGATTGTGTTTAAGAGTCTAATGGTGACTCAAAGTGGCTTACAGAAATATAAAAATCTCATATATAAAATAATAAAACTAATAAAAGAGAATAATCTTATCATAAATTAATAAATAAAATAACGCCTTACCTTGGTGAGAACACATCACACAAGCCATTTAATGAGCTCCATCCCGCTCTGTGTTTCCCAGGCCCGCTGGCAGAACCAGGTCTTCAGCACCTTCTGGAAGAGTGTTATGAGTGGAGGCCATTGTAATCTCTGGAGGAGTGATGTTCCAGAGAGAGGGAGCCACTATGGAGAAGGCACTTCTTCTGGGTCCCACCAGGTCTATCTCCCTAGGGGATGGGACCCACAACATTCCTTGTCTCCCCACTCTGGTGGGTTCGGTAGATGTGACTGGCAAGGGACATCTCTCAGATAACCTGGTCTCAAGCCATGAAGGGTTTTAAAGGTGACAACCAGCACCTTGGATTGCACCCGGAAGCAGATTGGCAACCAGTGCAGCTCCCGCAGGAGAGGTGTGCACAAAACCATGTGGACCACTGCCTTTTGCAGCCTTTTTTTCTTGTCTTTCAATCTCATTTCTTTTTCTCTGCTTCTTCTTTCACTGTATAGGAAACGATGGGCCAGCAAGCTAAGACCATGAGATCTCAGGTGAAGAAGACCACTATCAGGGACAAGTTGAAGCAATCCCAAAACTTCCTACAAAAGCTGCGGTTCCTTGCAGATGAGGTGAGATGAAATTTCATTCATTCATAACTTTATCTCCCTTTATATGTACACCATAACTTAACCCTGGGTGTCAAGAATGATCTAAGTCCACAGGTGCATAGAGAGGCCTGCTCCTTGCAGTACTATTTTCATTTCAATCAAGGAAGGAAATAGCTGCAGATTTGATGGTGCAACATCTGTGTTATGGGGACAGCTGCACCACTGCACCAACACTTCAACCTGAATAGGAAGGATGATTCTGAGTGTCTATGGAGATTCTTGGGCATCCAGGTTATGGTTATCTTGAAAGTGCTTTTCCAAAGTCATTTGGATTTTGTTTGTTTTTTCCTTGAAGGCATTTTACTTCTCCTCCAAGCAATTTCTTCAGTTCTGACCTAATGTTTTGTTGTATAAGAAGAAGCAGATGGTAGAGTGACCATTTGGGGCGTTTTAGGTTGTGAGCTGAGGCAAAGCAATGACTCCATTTACACATGAAAGAAGCCCAATGGATGATTTGGGTGACTGAGTGGGAAATCTACCTTAGAACAAGGAAAGTAGCAATTCCCAAATGTTTTTGATCTCTAGCAGAGTCCCATATTCACAGTTGAAATAAAGAAATGGATTCGGTCAGAGATGGGTTGCTAATTCTTTTACTACCGGTTTAAGGGCGCTCCTGTGCTCGCTTCCCCCCACACGCGACACTTATGTGCATGCACAGAAGCTTCTGCGCATGCACAGAAACATCTGGGTTGGTGGGCGGAGCCTCCTGCCGCTGCTACTACCAGTTCAGCCGAACTGGCAGCAACCCACCTCTGGATTCAGTGAAGGGTAGGTTCTTGGTTCATCATGCCCAACAATCCCTGTCTTTCTCCTCTCTGCCTGTCATTTTCAGCCTCAGCACAGCATTCCTGAGATCTTCATCTGGATGATGAGCAACGGCAAGCGCATAGCCTATGCCCGCATCCCCTCCAAGGACATCCTCTACTCCATTGTTGATGAGGAAACAGGCAAAGACTGTGGAAAACTGAAGACGGTTTTCCTCAAGGTGACTTAGCGTGTCTTTCTCTAGCTGACTAATATTTTGTTTTCTGCGGTAGATGGGGAACGAAGAAGCGTGATATGAGAAGCATGTGTGGGGAAAAAAAGAATGGAGGGAATATAAATTTTCCAGGATATCATGATCCTCCTTATCTACAGATCCCCCTTGTCTGTAGTCTGAAGACAACAAGGGCGGAAGTGGCCCTGTGCTTTCAACGCAGTTGTATGAAACAGAATTTCAGCTGAAGCTTTTCACAACCCAGAATTGTTTTAGAGCTTCACCGTGTAATATGTTAGGAACATGAGAAAAACATCAAAGAAAGAAAAAAAGAAGAAAGAAAGAAAGAAAGAAAGAAAGAAAGAAAGAAAGAAAGAAAGAAAGAAAGAAANATGCTGACTCTGTAAACCGCTTAGAGAGGGCTGAAAGCCCTATGAAGTGGTATATAAGTCTAACTATTGCTATTGCTATTGCTATGAGTGCCCAAAGTGGCACATGGAGCCATGTTGCCTGGCATGGGCGACATCAGCCGTTCCTCTTCCGGGTTTCTGGCATGCCTGTGCACACACTGATCAGCTGGCCTTTGTGCATGCAGCAGAGCAGGACACTGGAAGAAGCTGGTCTTCTGTTTTCCAGCATGAGCATGTGCTTCCAGCCAGCTAACCGGAAGACTTGCCAGCTGGAAATCAGAAGTACATTTTTGGGGGGGCCGTGCATGCCCCTTGGGCAACTCCTCTTCCTAGTCGTGGTCTACACGAGCGCACAAAGTACTCCCTTTTCGGCATTTGGTGCCACAACCCGCGTGTTCGCCTTCACTGCCATAATCCCTTCTGGGGTGGAGTCTGGCCAAATGAATGGAGCTGAATGTTTACTGGGCGGATGCCCTTCCTGTCATCAATGCGGAATTTTGTTCAGCAGATATATTCCCATTGTGCCCAGAGAGAGAAATATCTGCCTCTACCTAGGATCAAACTCACAGTCTCCTTATGGTGAGGCAAAAGCTCCACCTCTAGGCCACCGCACCACTCAAAATGCCTCTGGAATGACGGGTGCAAATCTCCCATTGTAGCTCTGCCTACTGAGAAATCACTTCTGCTCCTTTAGGAAGAAGGCCTCAATGATGTGCATGAGATGATCAAGACTGAAAAAACGTACCCAGAGCGCCGTCTCCGAGGAGTGCTGGAAGAGCTGAGCAGTGGATGTCTGTAAGTAGGAAAGGGGTTTAGGGATGCTGATGAAGCTACCTTTCTTTCCAAGGGATTAGGCCTCTTGAGGCTCTTGATTCGAATAATTGGTGAGGTTTATCTCCAAGATGGCTCAGCGGTTAAAGACATTGAGCCTGTCAGCTGGCAGCCCATGTTCAAGACCCAAGCGCCACACAACAGGGTGAGCTCCCATTACTTATCTCAGCTCCTGCCCACCCAGCAGTTTGAAAGCCTGCAAATGCAAGTAGATAAATAGGTACCACTTTGGTAGGAAGGTAACAGCATTCGGCGTATAATCGTGCTGGTCACATAACCATGGAAATTGCCTTTGGATAATGCTGGCTTCCTCAGCTAAGAAATGGAGATGATCAATGCTACTTAGAATCAGATATGACTGGACAAGGGAATTTTTTTCCTTGACATAAAAAATTGCCGTAAAATCATTGTGTATTGTCTAGATTGGTCTTGTTTTAATGGATTCAAACAATGAACTGAATTTTAGTTCATCTTCTCCAAATCATTCCTTCTTATGAAGGTCTGAGTAAAGTAAGGGAGGTCAGCCACTTTGCAGAGGCTGTTTTTGCAGAGACTAATCAATTTCCATCCATCTATCCATGCATCTACCCATCTATACATTAATGTTAAAATAGTCAAAAGGCTTTTGGCAAATAAATAGAATTGTTAGTCAATTAGCCGTATTGGCTTCTAAAAAAAACCAACTTACAATACTCTGTATATTGTTGCTTTTCATCTGGAAATTCTAGAATATTAATTAATTGTGCACAGATTTAAAATTTATTTGCAAAGGCTCTAAGAAGGAAAGATACTTACTACATCTTTCATGTGTTTCTTGTAACAATGGCTTGTTATTTTGGTTCTTTAGAGAAATTTAATCTCTCCTTTCTCTTTTTTTCCTCCAGTTTTAGCTTTTAGTATCAAATTCTGAAATTTTGAAAGTATTGTACCATTTCAAAATTAATTTTATTTGAAATACCCTCTTTTATAAAATACAAAAACTATTGTCTAATTAAACCCTAATTAAGTATGTTTATCTTATGGGATATAAAATATTGTCAATGGTTTCTAAGAGCAGAAAATGATGCTATCTTGGTACATAATAACTACAGCCTGGCATTTGGGAAAACAGGGAAATTCCAAGGAAGAAAAAAGCAGAAAGGAAGATCTATGTGTCCCATTCCACAACTGTTTTTTGTTTCTATCTACTAGTCATGCACTCCCTTACCACCACCACCCTCATTTTCTATCACCAATAAATTTGGTGAGAGTCCCCTTTTCTATTCAGTAATCAAATATTAAAAGATAAAAGTTAGAGGACTGAATTTTGTGGTCTCAATTCTCTCTTTTTTCACAATATCCTCTTTCCACAGGAGATTTGTGTCTCTCTCCAACAAAGATCACAACCATTCCTCCCGCACACGTCTGGACCGAGAAAGGCTGAAATCCTGCATGCGGGAACTGGTGAGCTAGCTAGCTTGCTTGCTTCCTTTCTTCCTTCCTTCCTCTCTCCCTTTCTTTCTTTCTTTCTTTCTTTCTTTCTTTCTTTCTTTCTTTCTTCTTTCTTTCTGTCTATCTG